TATATATATATATATATATCGGATCTTTAATTTTATATTTTGAAAGATTAACTATTTCAGTATTTTGAAAAATTTAATAATTAAGCGAACTGCAATTTCATTAAGCTGAGCTAATTACATACATTGAACTAATATTCACAAATTTATTGGTGTTATAAAACATGCAAGATAATGTTGAGTTACTGTGAATATGCATTAATAAATCTTTAAATTAATTTTACTTTTAAACGTTATTTACCTAGAAATTAAAGTTTCATGCCTAAAATCATATCATAAAATAACTAAGGAGCGGATTTTAATGAAATTACAGCGTTTTTCTTTTCACACTGGAACAATGCCGTTTAGTATAGAAATTCATTTTATGCATTTTATGTTATGACAAAACGAAATGACACATTTTTGTAAGTTGATTTTCTTCTTCATTTTCGATTACGAGAGGTAGGTCATTTTTGATTGTGGCGTCGCCGACGCTGTTAACCATTTTAAATGAATTTTCATGTCATGAAAATTTCTTTCATACTTCATTTATTCATGCATCGCTTTGTTCTTTAAGCTTTATTACTTTCTCGTAAACGTAAGTATATACGGAGTAATATCTGTAGTATAGAGAAAGCTTTGTAATGCTGCTGGGGCGATTTTTCGACAGAAAAACTCGTATTGGGAGGACTTGACGCAGGAAAATAGTTAAAACCTCTTTTAATATGTAGTAAATACCCCCTCTAACACGTTCTGTAGTCAGATATCAGAAATTGTGTGACATCGATAACAAAAAAGTTGTCCCCTGCCCACACACACACACCAAGACGTTCGTCTGTCTGAACAACACTTGCGGCTAGGCTAAACCTTTTTCTTTTCTTTTTTTTTTTTCCAAAATGGATATTAGTCAGTCGATCTGGTTTGACTCCAAGCGCTTCTATTGAAAACATTCTTTAAATTTGGGGGTACTTTACATCACGCCCCGGGGACATTTCAAAATTTTTCACAAAAATGCCCTTAATTTTTTTTCTTTAAATTTCTGAAAAGAATGGAGTAAAATACGCTAACAAAGGTGGCGTAGGCACTATTTTCATACTCAACTCGGAATTTTCGAAAATTGCAAAGTAAATTTTTTTCGGCGTCTTACTACAAATACAAAATTGAAAACGGAGATTTTTCTTTCCAATGCAATGTATTGTCCATAATTAGTTCAATCATGAAGGTCATATACATTTTCGGAAACTTTCAGTAGTTTTACATTTATACTTCTCTCATTAATGAGTACAAGTGCTTGAAATTATGCGTTATTAAGTTCCTAAATATTTTAAAGGTTTCTGCGAAAATAAGCTCAAATTTCAGGAAATTCTGAAACGCTAAAACCACCATTTTCTAAATAACACCTCAAATTTTTTCTTCAATCTTTTCCTACGGAAAGTGCAAATGGCGCTGTTTAATACGTCATAAAAATCATTTTGGTGTACTTTTGCTTTTTCTTAAAAAGTTACACAAATGTAATATTTAATAAATATCTGTCACTCTGATAAAATGCACATTTCCAGCAATTTGTGTACATTATTGAATTTGTAAGTGGAAATAATTTAAATGACTTTAAAATAAGTTTTTTCGTTAACTCAAAAGAGCTTCAGATTTTGCATTTATGGAAACATTTGAACGCCATTTTCATAAAAACACCCCCGAATTTTTTGACAAAACAAAAGACTGAAAAGCAAGCCCACATCAAGGAAATTAGAAAAGATTACTGTGAGAGAGTGTGTCATTCTGTAGAACCACAAGTTCCATAAGTATTACCCAATACCTATGAATTCAGCGAGTCTTGAACGCTTTTTTTCCATCTTCGCGCAGACTGAAAACTTATAGCAGGAACACAACTGAGCAAGATACTGGTCTAAAAAATCTGTAACAACAAAACACACAGTTTCTGGAAGATAAATTGCCTCTCAATCCAGATCTAATTTTAAGAATTTCTGTATCTGACAAACAGACACACTGACCGACCGGTTAGCAGACTGACCGACCGATTGGCAGACCGACCGATTGACAGACCGACTGACCGACCGACCGATTGACAGACCGACCGACCGATTGACAGACCGACCGACCGATTGACAGACCGACCGACCGATTGACAGACTGACCGACCGACCGATTGACAGACTGACCGACCGACCGATTGACAGACTGACATTTTACCGTCATTCACTTTTTCTGTATTAAGGACCCATAAATTCTGGATCTAGTTATATCATAGGTTTAATTTCTCTCTACTTTGTAGCGAGAAATTAAAACAATTCATGCTACAAAAGCACATACTTTCTTACAGTGTTTTTAAGTGCTTTGCAACATTATACTACTACATAACTCAGCAAAAGTGTTTTCAAACAGCAAATTATTTTCCCGGTCCGAGACTCGAAATCAGATCCTAAGAGCTAGTAACCCAGCACTCATACCACTATGCCACAGAAGCGCCGCATGGTTCAAACTCGGACAAAGGCATAAAAAGGTAAATTCCTGATTCATGTCGGAGAGAGACAGATGGACGTATTGCCGACAATCAATGTTTCAGTATGAAGAACCAACAGAACATGGATTCTGGTTACACCAAGTGTTAGAGGATTTTTAAAAAAAAACATTTGCAGCAACACACACCTTTTCGTTACCAGCGCTGGCAAAAATTCGCCGTTTTCCGGTAAGAAAGTAGAAAGCAGGCAAGGTAAAAGGAGGCATGTTGGGAAAAAAGAGTGAGAATGAAAGGGAGAGAGCAAGAAAGAGAAAAGAGAGAGAAAAACGAGAGGAGAGAGAGAGAGAGAGATAATAAGGAGAGGAGAGAGAGAGAGAATAAGGAGAGGAGAGAGAGAGAGAGAAAGAGAGAGAGAAAGAGAATGCATGCCCTGCCACTAATCAACCCCAAATTTTTTTTTTCCTGGCAAAAAGCCCTGGAAATTTTTGCCCAGCCCGCTTTAAAAACTGGGCAAGGGTAAAAAGATAGAAGGAAAACATGAGAGGACAAAGAGAAAAACAGAGGAGAGAAAGAAACAGAGAGAAAAAAGAGAAAAAGGAGAAAAGAGAGAAAAAAGAGAAAAAGAGGAGAGAAAAAGAAGAAAGGAACAAGAGAGAAAAAGAGAAAGAGAAGAAAAAAGAAGAAAGGAGAGAAAAAAGAGCAGAAAAAAAGAGAAAGAGAGAGGAAAAAAAGAGAAGGAAGAGAGGAAAAAAGAGAAACGAGAAGAGAAAAAAGAGAAAAAAAGGGAGAAAGAGAAAAAAGAAGAAAAAGAGAGGCGGAAAAAAGGAAGCAGGAGGGAGAAAAAAAGAGAAAAGAGACGCAGAAAAAAGAGAAAGAGGAGAGAAAAAAAGAGAAAGATAG